AGAATATATTTAAAAAATATATTTTTTAAAAATATATATTTTTTTAAACATATTAAAAAAGTAATTTAACATATGTTTTTACATATATTTGTAAATGCATTCCAAAAATGTAGATTTGTATTTTTAAAGACATACAGTATATTTGAAAATGTATTTTTAAAAATATTTTTCATATATTTTGTAATAAAAAAATATATGTCAATATATTTGGGAAGAATATTTAAAAAATATATTCCAAATATATTTATCTTCCATGTTGGTGGGGATGTCAGTGGCAGTTAGTCAGTGTCAGTTAGTGTCAGAATGCCGCTGCAGTCCCTCAGTCTTGCTATAAGTCGCTGATCGCCGCCATTACTAGTATTAAAAAAAAAACATTCCAGTATATATACCGCCGTTTGAAGACGCTATAACTTTCACGTAAACCAAATCATTTACACGTATGCTATGCACAGCTGGTACCTCAATGAGACAGACAGAGTCTTCAGCTGGACTGTCAAAAAGGGCCGGCAGCCCTACTGGCTGGGATATTCTCCTCCTGGGGAAGAACACTGCTCTCTGAGACTCCAAACTATACACTCTCTAACCACCATCTGGGCACACCTCCACAGGGATTGGCTGGAGTTACATAAATTTTCAGGCTGCTCATTTGACTCTCCCACCCACTATATTCTGGAAATCTCCAGAAGACAGGGGGAAGCAATCAAACTTGCAGCTTGCAGAGGCCAGAGCAGTCTAAAGCAATCGCATGCTGCTCTACTGATTACAGGAGAGCCCCAGAGCTAAATTTGTCTACCCTTACTAGCAGCCTACCTAGGAGGGTGCTAAATTGGACTCTGCTCTGGGGGATCCAATCTTATTAGAGTAGAACAGATGACTATGGAAATAGATTACAGCGGGAAATGCAGATAAAGATGAAACTTTAGAACAATTTAGCCGCTTACCGCATTCTTGATAGTGATCCAAACCTTTCAGAAACCACTGCAGGATTTGATGCAGCAGAGAGAGCTCATGGGTGTGACTAATAAGAGGATGACTGAATTTTTTTGGGTGTATTTTCTCCGTCCCAGTCTTTCACCATCTTCTGCATAAACCAAGTGTTTTCCCAAGAGTCATCCTATTGTTATGGATATTGGTTTCTTTTTGGAAAACCTGGGACAATGGGTTGATGTCCACCTCTAGCTATTAGTTCAGCACATGCCTGGTTTTACTAAGGATACTAAATCCATCTTGAGTCCCCTGGTTTTACTAAGGATACTAAATCCATTTTGAGCCCCTTGTACAACTTTTCTATCCCCCCCCCCCCCCCAATTAGCCCCTAAAAGCTTACAACAGCATTTGAATGTGTATAGTAAGTTCCGCAAGGAGATACAATTTTCTTGTTGTTGGCCATTGCTGTGTTCTTACTTGTTCATAATCATTTTTGGTAGATTTCAGCTACTACCTTCATGGATGCTGAACTGCAAAGAAAGAAAATCAAGTTTTCACCATCACTTGGCAATGCAGTAGTGGGAGGAGATCCACATCTTTGCAGGTAGGAATCCTGTATCTTATACATAGGTATGGTTTGGTCGCTATACTGATAACCTTCTAAAAGTGTGGAAATGTACTTCAGATTATTTAAAATCATTCCTAATTTATGTGAATGACAACAAACTTATTTTTTTATTTACAGATAATTGGGATGTGCTGTCAATCAACTTTTTGAACTTGCCCCTGCTGGGTAACATTGAGACTGGTGTCAAGGGTTTTTTTTGCATTGTTCTTTCTAGCAATGGGTAGTGACCAGTCCAAGGGGGACCGGAGGCCACTGTAGGTCACTATGACAGCAGAAGGAGCATTGCACATGTCATTACACAGTACATCACATGATTAGGTCCAGAGTCCATCACATCACAGCACTACTGCCAGGCCCTGGTTACAGAGTCATAAAACAGTACCCTAAGTGAATTTGGAGCCTCAGGGGGAAAAATAGGCTCAATGGGGAGGTTGAACATTACTCAAATTGGGCTACCAAGTCAGGTCAGTACCCAATAACAAATTAGTGAGGATGATGTCTGTTACCCTCACTGCTTTCATTCTTTTCTCATTCCCTCGGTCTACAGACTATTCATACTGCAGTGATGACTGTAGGTAACAGCTGAGTGTGCAAGTGTGTGTAGCTGCTCATAGGGGGCAAAAACAGATGCATAAATCAGCAGAATTTGCACTTCCAGGTAGGGGCCGTGGCCCACGGCCGCGGCCGTCGTGGCCATGGCCGCGCCGCGGCTATCAATCACTGGTGCTCGGTGATCGCCGAGCATCTCTGACAGGGGGTGGGGAGAACTGTTTGTAAACAAAACCCCTGCTCCCCTGTCAGCTCCTGCACACTGCTTTGCATGGCTGTGCACAGCACAGCCATACAAAGCAGTGTGCTTACAGTGAAGCGCACAGACACAGCCCCTAGTAAAACAGTACAACACGGCACACTGTTAACCCTTTGATCGCCCCCCACATGTTATCCCCTTCCTGCCCAGTGTCATTAGTGCAGTGTCAGTGCTTTTTATGTGCTCTGATCACTGTATTGGTCAGTGACACCAAGTCAGTTCCCCCAAGTGTTAGAATGCCCGCCGCAGTCCCGCAGTCCCACTATAAGTCGCTGATCACCGCCATTACAAGTAAAAAAATGTTTTTAAATCGCAGTATATACCGCCATTTTCTAAACGCTATAACTTTCACGTAAACCAAATAATTTACTTGTACTGGGGGTTTTTTTTAGCAATGACATGTAGCAGAATACATTTTGGCCTAAATTTATGACAAAATTAGATTTTTTACATTTTTTACTGGACATTGTTTAATAGCAACAAGTCAAAAATATTGAGGGTTTTTTTTTCAAAATTATCAGGCTTTTTTTTTTTATAGCGCAAAAAATAAAAAACACACCGGCGATCAAATACCACCAAAAGAAAGCTCTATTTATGGGGAAAAAAGGCTGTAAATTTCATTTTGGTGCAGCATTGCATGACCGCACAATTGTCAGTTAAAGTAACACAGCTCGGTAACGCAAAAAATAGCCTGGTCAGGAAGGGGGGTAAATCCTCTGGAGGGCAAGTGGTTAAAGCACTTTTCATTTTATGCACTTTAAGCTTTGTTCAGACTTCTAAGAAATTAAATGAAATGTTATATAACAGGCTGGTCTGGTTGGTGCATATCATAATGTAATACAGAGGTCAATTAACCTAAATTGTAAGCTCCTTGAGTTCATGTGCAATATATAGATATGTACAAAATGTAAAGTGTTGGTAAATTGTTGTCACTATATAAATAGCCAAAAAAAAAAAGATGAGCACCAAACATCAACCATAGTCAGGGGCGGTCTGACCATTCGAACACTCGGGCACTGCCCGAGGGCCCAAGGTCAGTAGGGGGCCCCATGAAATGCCCCTGTTGCCTGTTTTTATAGGCTTTTTTGGGTGTGCTTTGAGTGTGGTCAAGGACACTTGGGCCCCATGATCCCCTATTGCCCGGGGACCCCATGAGTTGTCAGATGAATATTATACCATGGTCGGGGGCGGACTGATGACCATATAGTTTACAATGGTGCATGGGAGTGAGACAATTCAAGAGCAATGTTTGACCTGCTGAAAATCCAGCTACATGATGACAAAATTCATACTCCAGTATACAAAACATAATTTTGGAAAACTGGATGAACTAATACTTTTCAATAAGAATGCCAGTTTTACAGTGCTGCAGTGCGGTTTGGCCGCAGTGCAGGTGTACACGTGGTTTTTTACAATTAACCCATGGTTTCCCATAGTCCTTCTATTAGATTGCGTGATTTGGGTGCTTTTTCTGAAAGCGCACTAATGGATGGAACATGCAGGACTTTTGGTGTGCTTTCAGATAATGCTCCAAAAACTCGCAATCTAATAGAAAGTCTATGGGAAACTGCAGGTGAACTACACAAAAAGAAAAACCACTCAAAGCAGTGTGAAACCAGAACATAACAAGTAAAATAAGAAAAGTGATTTAAACAAGAGAAAATAAAAAGAGGCAATAGGCTGAAATGTGTTGTGGGACTCATAGAAGGTTGATGTAAGTTTTTATTGACCATATCTGTGATATATAAATATATATATATATATATATATATACAGTATATAGCAAACATCTAGCAAATATAAAATACTGCTGTTTAAACCAGTTGTGCATTCAATTAATAAATCCTTAGGTCTGTTTTAATAGGGGTTCTCTACACAGCAGGGTTTAAACTGGGACAAGAGTTGGCAACAGTGTAAAGCAATCAGCCTCTATTGCATTGCACAGAATGCAGAAAGCTGGCTGGAGAAAGCACATTGTTGGCTCAGAGGAGAAAGCACACTGTTGACCTCATCTGCATGTTGCTGTTCCTCCACTATCCAATCACAGAGTGGGACAGTCCTTCATCAAGTAGCATTACTTTAACCACTTGCCCTCCTGAGGATTTACCCCCTTCATGACCAGGCCATTTTTTGCATTACGGCACTGCGTTACGTTAACTGACAATTGCGTGGTCATGCAACGCTGCACCCAAATGAAATTTACGTGAATTGAGCTTTCTTTTGGTGGTATTTGATCGCTTGTGCGTTTTTTATTTTTTATGCTATAAGCAAAAAAAGACCGACAATTTTGAGAAAGAAAACAATATTTTGGACTTTTTTCTATTAAACATGTCTAGTAAAAAAATTTTCAAAATCTAATTTCATCATAAATTTAGGCCAAAATGTAAAATGTCTTTGCTAAAAAAACAATCCCAATATATGTAAATTAATTGATTTATGTGAAAGTTATAGCATTTACAAATGGCGGTATAGATAATGGGATTTTTTTTTTCTAGTAATGTCGGTGATCAGTGAATTTTACTGCGGTGGACATTCTGACACTAGGGGGGACCTAACTTGGTGTCACTGACATCCCCAGTGACACCAATACAGTAATCAGTGCTAAAAAAAAAAAGCACTGACACTACTAATGACACTGGGCAGGAAGGGGTTAATGTGAGGGGAGATCAAAGGGTTAACTGTGTGCTGGGAGTGTTTTACTAGGGGGTGGGGGGTGTTCTTCACTGTAAGCACACTGATCGGGATGGCTGTACTGTGCACAGCCATCCCAAGCAGTGTGCTCGAGCTGACAGGGAGGAAGATTGTTTGTAAACAAAACAATCTTCCTCCCCGTCGGAGATGCTCAGTAATCACCGGGCGCCAGAGGGTAATTACCGGCCGAGACCCAGTGATTGACATCTGTGGCCGCGAATGGCAGCACAGGTAGGGTGCACACATGGCTTGTGCATGCCCCCTACCCAGAAAAGCAGAATGACATATATACGTGATTCTGCGCACAGGTGCCACCCTGTAGCAGTATATCTGCTATAGGGTGGTCCTTAAGTGGATAAGTTCACCTTTTGTAACATGTTACATGTTACACCTGTATTCAGGGTACCGCAGCCCCCATACCCCCCTGATCCCCTGTTGTGGCAGCAAGCAGGGGATCCTCTCCCTCATCCGCTGCCACAATTTTTAAAAAACATGGAGTTCAGTGAATGGGAGAACTACAGGTACCAACAGACTTTGCTGTCAGCTTGTAGTTCTCAATGAACTACCAAGGCACTGATGAACACTCTGATGCTTCCTGCCATTTTGTAACTGCCTGCCCATACGAGGTACATGCAGACAGCTTACACTTACAGTCTGGAGGAGCTTCGCATTATACCTGCGATCTGATGACAGTGAATGCAATGCTTTGCAGGCTCCTAGCAAAAACAAAAATTATAAATGCACATTTTTTTTCTACAGAGGTGCACTTATCCTTTAATTTCAGTAAAGAAAAGTTAGGTCATAACATAGCTCTGCTGTTTGACAACAATGCCTGGATTAGAAAAACGTCTGAAAATAATTACAAATTTTTGACGAGATTATTTACACTTAATATATGCATTTCAAATGTAAAGTTACCTGTTTGACTACAGTGCTGCTTGAAATTCCTGGAAATTGGGTGACAGTTTGTTAACTATTATTCTACACTGAGTGTGGGGTAGTTAAAATTAACATGGACTCCCAAAACTAAGAACCTAATTTACAAATAAAATAAAAATTATTTACACTTTTATTTTAGCAGATAAATCTACTCACCCGTTTCATGTTATTAGTCAATTATTTTGCTAGATTTTTTTACTGATATATTTATACTGACTACGGACATAGTTATAAAGCAGTAAAATGTGATTGTACCATCAATCACAGGTGGTGAATCAGTCACCATCATTTAAACACATGCATCATGAAGGTTCACCTGCAGTGAATATTTTGTGAAAGTCACACGTTAGCCCATGGCTGGTTTACAAGCAATGTACATACAGTACATCCACAATAAAGTGCACATATTTTCTGCAATTTAAAAAAATGCCACAAGATGTCAGTATTGTAGTTGTAAAGACTTGGGATTCTATTTGCATTCACTCCCCACAAGGAAAAAAGAATGTTCATATTGATTTAGCTACAAAACGAACATTTTAAAGAGAAACCATTGTGTGCTTTTAGTAAACTACCATCTTTCAATTTAGCATTATAGGTTTTATTTGTAAAAATATTTTTAGCAGTGCTCTCAATTGCAGAACATGCTTTTCAATGTTCTGGACATGAGATGACTGCCAACCAGAGAAGAGATTTGGGCCTAACAAGGGTTGGATATGAACCCAAATTATTTGCAGTTGTAAGGGAATTCCCGTGAGACAGCTGGTGAATAGACGTGCGCATGTGCACAGAAATGCACGATCACGCACACGCACGGTGAAGAATGGCGCCAGATGGACTATTTAAAAGGTGCCTTTGCCTGTGCTGAGTGCTGACTGGTCTTCAGCTGTTCCCTGTTTCCTGCTCATTCCTGTGTGTGATTTCCTTGTTTCTGACCCGGCTTGTTCCTGACCTGCCTCTGATTACTCCCCTGCTTGATACTGGTTCCTGACTGCAGCTCTGCTCCTGACTTTGGCTTGCTTATGATTTGATACCTTGCTGTCCGCCCATTGATGACCCTGGCTATTCCTTTGACACTGCTCCTGTCTCCTATCCCTGCTTCCTGCCTTGTTCTGGGGCACACCTGGCGATCTACCATACCAGCTCTGCATATTACTACTGTGCCTGAATCAGAGGTTCATCAGCCTTCCAAAGTCTCCAACTGCAAGAGCTGCAAACAACATCTGCTGGTGCTCTTGTCCCCCTGGTCCCTACACACCCTCTGTTCCACTTCCAGTGGGGTCAGGGCTAGTGACACAAGTGAGGCCAACCTCGTCATTTCAGTCTCCAATCAGGTACGTGACAGCAGTCTGAATTAATGCTCAATTTTTGCATCATAGCTACCAACAATATACTTTATGGCCTTTGAACCTTTGGTCAGATGGTTTGTGTAGCACCATTTTATCCCTGGAAGGTGAATGTGGAACCCCAGATGGCTCAGGGGGCTAGCAATACCAACCTCAGGGCAGCAGAATCCTTGACTCTTGCAATGGGATAAACTGGGTTTGTTATGTTAGGAAACACCTGAACGATTAATTTAGTCAGGTAAAAGTGCCTCCAAATATAAAAATATTTTTAAAAATAGTTTAACTGACCTGATTAATTTTTCTGAGTTAATTTTTAGCCAAGCAAAAATTCTTTCAGAGCACTAATGAGATCAGTGTGAGTATGGACTGGAGATTAATAAATACATTAATATTTATTTCCATAAGTTACTTACAAACATCATAAATAACAGTTAGATTGTGATATGCATTGACACTAAGATATTTGCCTAAAAATTCTCTGTAACAAAAGAGTAGATATATAGTTAATTAAATCTAATAATTCATTTCTCCACGTAGACAAAATAACTAATGATAAATAATTATCAGACAATTGTCTGCGTTTTATGGAATTATACTGTTATTCCCCTGCAGAAAGAATCAGCATCAAACCATGTAAAACTGTATTCCAATGTAGCCCAAGAACATAAAAATTTTTTTTTTTTAAATTATTAATTTGGGTAGTTATTTTATTGTGGAGAGGGCGATTAGGTTACAACAAGAAAGATTGCAATTCGCTATATTAATTTAGGCAAGCAAAATCACCAGAAAATAGATTATAATTACCCTCCAAGTCTCAGATAACCTTTTAGATACCGTGATGATCTGACCCAAGATGGCTGCCGAATAATGGGTGGAGTTGAGCTTCCCCAAAATGGCATCTAGCTATTCTGGAGCTTTGTGTCCTGGCTCAGTGAGGTGTCAAATGATGTGTATAAGATGTTTCTGGTGGGTGTTCTCCCATGTGTTCAGAGGATGTTTAGATGATCTCTCTTGTGAGTGTCCCCTTTCCATCTTATTGACTGGCAAAACAGTACACTCATAAAATTTGAATAGGCCTGTCTCCGAAGGTGGAACCTTCTCTAAGATTGTTGAATTTGTTTAATAACTAAACCCATGTTTATCTTTGTATTACCTCTCTTCCACCTGGTGACACTCGATGACAAAAATTGTCTATACTAAGTTTATCTCGTGGAGATGGATCTTATAAAATAATCTGTTATAGAACCAATTAAAATTTTACTGTAACAAGTGGGGCCAAGTGAAATTATCTTAAATATATAGAATATTTAAGAGCTCTGGTAATTGCCAATGTATGATCATTACCTTCCTGGTGTAGCAAAATTTTAAATGTAACACCTTAACTATAAAAAGGTGATGTTTCATATATAACAATCAAAATATTAGAATTACACATATAGGACAGAAAAATAACTAATATATGTATATGTATATATATATATATATACCTAATCATTTGCATACCTAAATACCTAACTACTAATTGATTATAGATGCCCTATAACACACATACAGTATGTTTCCAACAGTGGGAATTACACATAAACAACCCCGTATTAATATTCAGAAATCCTTTCTAGCAATGGGATATTGTGTCAGGATAAAATCTTTTATAGATACCTTGCAACATTGTGTTATGATTTAAAATCATACACGTATAAATATGTCCGTGATACTCATAGTAATTTTGTCCGTAACAAGAATTTATAACTCATTGGCTTGTAAACAGGCGTCAATGGATATATACAGTATATACAAAATGTCATAAAGTCTTGACCTTATGACTTGAAAGATGATCCATGGAATCAATTTATGTTATAGGAATAATCTGAAAAATAGAGACAGTTCCAACCTCTTTTGTATCAACTTTCCATACAGTTTATTTTAACCACTTCAATACCTGGCACTCCCCCCCCCCCCCCCCCCCTCTGCTGAGGCCAATTTTCAGCTTTCAGCGCTCTCACAATTTGAATGACAGTTGCGCAGTCACAACTAGAGCTTTCTTTTTGGTGGTATTTAATCACCACTGGGGTTTTTTATTGTTTGCTAAATTAATAAAAAAAAAAGACAGAAAATGTGGTGGAAAAAAAAACACGTTTTCTTAGTTTCTGTTATAAAATTTTGCAAATAAATAATTGTTCTTCATAAATTTAGATCTAGATCTATTCTGCTACATTTATTTGGCAAAAATAACCCATATCAGTATTTATTATTTAGTCTGTAGAAAGGTTATAGAGTTCACAAACTATGATTTATATCTGAAAATTGATCAATCCTGAAGTACTGATGGCCAATCTAATTTATTGAGGCTCAAAAATGTCAGAACAGTACAGATATACCCCAAATGACCCCTTTTTTGAAAAGTAGACCGTTCCGAGGTATTTAGCAAGAGGCATGGGGAGTTTTTTTGAAGTTGTAATTTTTTTTGTCATACAGTATCATCATATAACTGGTGTGGTATAGTGTTCAGAGAAACTGACTGAGGACCGTACGAAAAAAAAATAACGATTATTTTTCCATTTTTGCTTTCCATTTTATTATTTTTTTATTTATTAATAAATTTTTTCAAGATTTTTTTTTCATAATACACTGTGAACAGAGTAGTATATTGTTACCATAGTAACATTATACTACTTTGGGGAAGTGATCAGTATTTTTTTTTTTACACATTATGACTGGTTATAGCAAAGTGGGAGGGCACCCTGATGAAGTCATGTGACAGTGATGTAACACGTAGGTCGGAGAGCGGAATGTGGTGACGTCATTTCTGACATGAACGGCCGCAGCCATATTGGTACACCCATATCAACCCATGTGATTGATGCCTTGTTTGATCTGTTCACATGTAAGTGAGCATTTGTCTTTACAGCAAATTTGATTCATTTACAATATTACACTATGGAAGCACTTTTTCATGTCTCCCTGGGAGTGCTGTGAGCTGGCTGTTTTTTCTGATCCAACAAACCCCTGGCAGGAGTTCTGTGAGCTGGCGGATTTCCGTGTCCAAAAGGTGAAAGATATAT